GGAGGGGAGGGGGTAGGGTAGTGGGAATTGATGTTGGTGCAAGTAAGGTGGAGTTGTAAAATATCGATCGAAATTATTTTCAATTCAATTTAAATGAATATTATTGTAAAAATAAAAAGTAAATTTACACATTCAAAAATTATTTCAAAAGATCTACAAAACAAGAAATAATACAATTATTTTATTTTACCAAATAATTAATAAAAATATGTATCTAATAATTAATGTCCTTGGACAATATTTTAATTTTTTTTGTATGACGATACTAGGTCAGATAATGTCAAACATATTGTAGGAGGGGAAGTGAGCATGATGATGGGAAATGTTGAGAAGAGAGCAAAATTAATGAAGACAAGGAGAGCAATCGCAAAGGAAAGAAGTGTAGAGAATGAGTATTGATAATGCAATTATTGCTTGATTTATAGGGTGATAAATGAGTAGTTATTTTTAAATTATGTAACTGAAATCATATGGATCACATGGAGTAATTAGAGGAACGGCTAGATGAAAAAACAAGAGGAATAAATATACAAGGGTAAAGATGGAATACCGTATAGAAAAAGTCCTATTAATAGAAAACAACTTAACTAGTCCTATTAAGGGAAAACTAACAACTTTAAGTCCTAGATGCAACAAATTTTACATCTGAAATCCCACTAGTACATCTGCAAAAAAAACCTGCAATTTGCAATCAACTAGTGAAGTAGGGCTATTATCTTATCATATGAATGTAATGATATATAGAACAAAATACCTTGGAGGTGGGTTGCAAAAAAATTAACCTTACCTTTTGAAATTCCAGTCAATCTAGATGTGTTCTTCAACCATCTTCCATGTATGAATTCCGTTTCATTAGCAATTCCGACGAGGAATCCAAGACCACCGGGCTAATGGATATAAACCATGGATCTCTGTCTTTCCTCTCTCAAATGGGTTTCAAGAAATTCTCGTACTGCATTTCAAGTTCCGATTTTTCAGGTCTCCTCCTCTTCGGAGACACCAATTTCACCATGGTTTTACTCCTGAACTACACCCTATTGGTTCAATTTGATCCATCAGCAATCGTGGATGTGTGTATTGGTGCCGTCGACAAATCAAAGTAGGAGAAACGAGATTGTCCTAATTCGTGCGGAAGAATAGGAGTGGGCAAAATCCCAAGGCTGTTTGTTGGATTTGGAATATAGATTTCTATTTATAAGTAAGGCATGAAAATCCATCAAAATCAACATCATAAAAAAAATTTAAAAATCTATCAACTTTTGAATACCATCAAATTTAGAAGGATTTTTTAAAATCTGAATTGAATACATTCAGATTTTAAATGATTTTTAAAAATTTGAACTGAATACCTACAAATTTTCAAAATCCAAAAAAATCCATCAGAATCTTAATTGAATACACCCTCCTAAGTCTTTTTAAGTATACCATATTTATGATTTTGAAAAACAAAGTCTTGTATAATTATTCTGTAAACAAGAATTTTAAAACAACTATTTTTCAAATATGAAAAATATAACTTTTTAAGCTTTAACATTGCTTCCATGGATCATTCCTACAGGCTGAGCAATTATTAAAAATAATGATTTGTAGTTGAAATATAATAATAATAATAATAATAATAATAATAATAATGATGATGATGATAATAATAATATAACAATAATAACAATAGTTACAATTATAATATTAATTAAGATTTAGGTGTGTGTAGCTTTAAATAAAGTAATGTGATTTAATCAAAAAATAGTAATTATTATTTAATCCTTGAAAAATATAAAAAAATTTATATTTTTTCTTGATTTTATATTCTTAGATTTGATATGATCTGATCTGATCTGATTGGATCTGATCTGATGTGATTAGATCTGATTTGATTTTAATAAGAATAAATAATAAGGCGAAAAAATAAGTCCTAAGGAACAAACCGTAGGTCGTTTTAAACTTGGCTTCCTTAATAGTTTGTGCTCTATTGAGGATGTTTTCAAGAGATGCATCATCCTGATCTACCTCTAAATTCTTATAAGCGACAATTGGGCCCAAATTACTTCGGTGTGACCGCTTGGTGTCTTCAAGTGTTGAAGCCTTCTCCTTGGGAGTACTTTCCTGCATTGAAGTTGTCTCAGAACCAAACTTTGTATCAGTATTATTGTCCAGACGGGGACCCAAATCATGTGAAGTAGAAGTGTGTGTTGAAGTAGATTGCTGATTCGTTTCAAGAGGAGGACCCAGCTCACATGTGGGAGTTTTGAGAAGGAGCTCCAGCTGCTTCAGTGAATCAGTGTATGACCAAATGGTCATTTGTGCATGGATGGTGCTGTTGCCTGTTGGAGGATCAAACCAGTCGTCATTGCATTTTCCGGTCAAGTTGCCAGATTTCCTGCACTGGACATAGTAATCTGGTAGATTTTTATGACAAACATGTGTAAAGAAACCCATCCCGCCGTTATCGATCCAAATTTTCTGAGGCAGTCCTTGAGAGATATCAACCTCGATGCAAAATCTAGCTACTAAAGACCTCGTCTTTGAATATGTGGAAGCGTCCCTCATCAGGGGGGTGCAAATGGAACTTGCAATAAAATGCAGAGATTTTGCTTCTTGGAGAGAGATGGGCATATGGGTGAGTGAGACTGAGACAGGGAAAATTGGATTTTTGTAGTCAGCCTCGAAATTGGGACTCCATTTTGACACTTCCATCGATTTTCCATAATCGTTTGGAGAAACACCGTTGGTACCCAACTAGACAACGGAAATTGATAAGGATGAGGGATGGGGAAAAAGACCGACAGAGAAGCCAATCTTCTCTAAACATTTGCGAGTTACCTCCAATGGGGGTTTTGAGTTGAGGAAATTAAACAACCAACCAGGGCAAATTGATAAGGAATCGAGAGTGATTTTACCTCTGCAACAGTGAAGGACACTACCGGAAATCCCTTGTACCGTCCGATTTGTTTCTCGATCGTTTGGGTTGGGTAACTTAGAGTTTCTGTGAAGCTTTTCCTAATATAATAATACTCTCTCCGTCCCCCTCTATTTGTCCACTTTCATTTTTACACACAATCCAATGCACTTCTTTAATCCATTTTATCTTGTAATTTGTATATTAAAAAATTCTAAAAATTATATATTAATAATCTATATGTTAAGACAAATCAAACAAGATCACACATGACTATATTTAGGCTTACACATTGAGAGAATTTGATGAGTCAAAGTGCTTAGATGAACAGTTCCAAAAGTCAAATGTGGACAAATACAGGGGGACGGAGGGAGTAATAGCCACTAATCATTAATAATAATAATAATAATAATAATAATAATAATACTAATAATAATACTAATACTAATAATAATAATAATACTAATAATTTATAACAACAAGAATTTAAAATAATTTTTTTTTTAGGTTTTCCAATTTGTTGAAGTTTTTCTAATTTCTTCCAGTTCCATCCTGTTTTTTCTAGTTTCTTCCAGTTCCTTCCGGTTGTTTCTAGTTTCTTCCATTTTTCTAGTTTTTTAGTAGTTTCTTCGAGTTCCTTCCAGTTTCTTCCAGTTCTTCCAATTCCTTCCAGTTTTTTCCAGTTTCTTCAAACATCCAGCTCTCTTTTTCCAGTCCTAAAGAACATGCTCTTATAGTCCTAGCATGTGAAGAAAGTGAAAGAGAAAGGGCTTAAAGAGAGAATTCTAATCCTACTTGGTTTACTATTCTTAAGGAGGAAGTCATGGTTGAGACTCCTAAATACACTCTAACAGAGATATTATATTCCATATATTATCTTCTCCCTTCCTTATGGTTTGAGTGTGCAAAAAAACAGTAGAGTCCTAGCATGTGAAAAAAAGCGAAAGAGGTAAGAGCTTGAAGAAAGAATTCTAATCCTACTTGGTTTATTATGCTTGAAGAGGAAGCCATGGTTGAGACTCCTAAGTACACTCTAACAGGGTTATAATATTCCATATATTATCTTCTCCCTCGCTTATGGTTTGAGTGTGAGAAAATACGGTAAAAACATACGCAAATCCGATCAGAAGAAAAACAAGAAGGTGCAGATTTTGACAGTGCAAATTTTTTGGGCAGCCTGTACCAATTTGATCATCTTCAGAGATCCGACCATTAGATTTTTCTGAAATTTTCAGAGAGTGTTTCCAGCACAGTGGGCTTCAACGTGTTCAATTTTCACGTCAATCGGAGTTACGGATCTTCTGTTGTCGAAGTTACAATCTACATATTGTCGCTGGTTTGTTTTCCAGAAAATGTAGCTCTTGGTTTGTCGATGGTTGGAGTACCAAATCTTGTCTGATCGTGCTGAAATTTTGAGTGGAGTCTAAGGACTCGTGGAGCTTCAATCGGAACGGTGCAGATCGAATTCCAATAGTTTGATCTTGATTTATGAGCTTCGGATCAGCCTAGATATTGTTGTAAAGAAAGGCAGAATCATTATTTGAAGGTGTACTAAATTCTACGTCCTTGAAGAAGATCTTTGAGAGCGTGTAACAAGCCATGGAGATAGATGCAAACAGAGTTTGTTGTCAAGTCATTCGTAAGTAGACAAATCAATACATTAGAAGGTTCTCTTGTGATTGGTTGTGTAATTCTTACAGTGATTTAGTGAAATGGTTGTTACACGGACGTGGGCCTCACATGCGTAGGAGAGTTGCTCCGAACTACGTAAACAAATCTTGTGTACTGTTTACTGCTTTTACTTTATATTCTATGTGTGTGCTTGTGATAGAGAAGATTTTATAGCACACCGTGTGATGTTTTTGCCATCTATTACTGTGACAGTGCTGCAGTACAGTATCTTCTCTACAGCATAGTTGATTGATTTGTTTGCATAGCTCTTAATTGGTGATTTCTGTTGCGCCCCCACGAACTTACAATTGCTATCAGAGCTTGGCAAGCTTAAGTTATTAGCTTGAGATATCTATCACCATGAGAGACATTCAAGAAGGTTCTAATGTTTTTAGACCTCCACTATTATGCGGCTATGATTATACTTTTTGGAAGTGCCGAAAGAGAGCCTTTCTCAGGTCTCTTGGGGGACATGTTTGGACAAGCATAGAGGTTGGAAGGTCAGCTCCTATCATGACCAATGGAGATGGAGAACTAATTCAAAAAACTTATGAAAGATTTAGAAAGAAAGAAAAGGATGCTGCAGAATCGAATGATCAGGCTTTGAATGCAATCTTTGGAGCGGTTGACAGAAATCAGTTCCGTCTTATCTCAAACTGCACAGGGGCGAAGAGAGCTTGGGACATTTTGCTTATTACTCATGAAGGCACTACAACGGTCAAGACAGCCAAACTTCAGATCGTGATGTCTAAAATTGAAAATCTTAAGATGAAGGATGTTGAGTGTATCACAAATTTTCATGGGCGAGTTATAGAGTTGGCAAATGAGGCTGAAAGGCTTGGTGATACAATTACAGAACACAAGCTGGTGTTGAAAGTTCTACGTTCTCTTCTAGAAAAATCCTCTATGGATGTCAAAGTTATTAGACAAACATAATCTCTCAATACTATGTCTCTTGATGAGCTGATGGAGAACTTAGAAACCATTTAGTTGGAGACTATGCTTATAATTGTTGAAGAAAAATTTCAAAAGTCTCTACGGGTAAACAAGAAAAAATGTTTGGAAAATGATAGTCTCAAATGTGAACTTGCTGAATCAAAACGTGAGGTGGAACAACTTACTAAAGAGTTACAGAGATACAAAGGTAAAGTTACTGTAGACGATGACACAAAGGATGATACAGAAGATGACACAGAGGTTGACACAACATAATAGCTAGCTTTTCTCCAAAGGAAGTGGGCATAACTTCTTCAAGCCAACAAGAAAATTGTCCTGGAGAACCACCATCTTGTTGCCGAGTGAAATAGACTAAAGAAGGGTATTTCAGAATTAGAGAAGAAGATTGAAGAATTAGAAGGACAACAATTTGATCTCAAATATGAATTAAATCAACTTAAAAACTTTCACAAGTGGATGAGGAGTGCTGGAGCAAAAGCTATTGAGGAACGAGTGAACATTTCAAAATTTTGTGGAGACAAGACAGGTCTTGGATTTTCAGGTTCCGAAAGCAACAAAACCTCACTTGACTTGTTTGTTGATCAAAGAAAGGAAGTTGCTCAAAAGGCCCCACAAAGAAGGAAACTAGAAGCTACCAAATCTGCTAGAACATCTTCTGCCACACACGCTGAAGCATCTCGTGTAGCTTCTAGTGGAACATCTTATGCAGTACCCTATGTAAAAAGGCAACGCGTTGTGACCCAATCTAGTATGAGAAGACACAAGGATCATTATCCTAAACCTGAAAGGTATTCTTATATTAATGTCTATGCTAATTATGTTTGTTTTTGCTGTATAAAAAGGGGACACATTCAAAGGAAATGCAAGATTGTTAAAGAGCAAAGGTACAGAAAAAAATGTGACAATAAGGATGATTTGGGTACCTAAGAATCAGAAAAAACAGGTGATAATCATTGTGTGAAGGATGTTGTTCTTGATAAATGTCATGTTGGTAGTGCAAGCTTGCATCAAGGAGAAACGAAAATAGATCATATATTGTGGTGTTAAGAGTGCTGAATCATCTCATAAGTGTGATGAAGTGACACCTCCTAGTCATGAGAGTGTGAAGTTTATGAAAATGAAAAAATGGGCATTGGGCAGGTGTAAAAGAGTATTTGATGAGAATCGTTTTGGTATACTCAGATCCCGCTTGGGTCACTTGTGCATGATGGAATATCTTAGAGCATGAATTTTTTTGCTGGTTGTATACATGTCTTTTTTATTTTGCAGATTATTACTTTTTTAGATGGATCGTCCGAGGGGAGTTGATCAAGTATGACACGGGTTGATGTAACAAAGTCTAGTTCTATTTTGATATTCATTGTTGTAATGCTCAACCTCGCTTGAATGTTACTCTTCTCTTTTTACACCAATATTCTTAATAAAACCCTTGGCATTTAATATGCAAGGGGGGGGGGGGGGGGGANCAAAAAATTGCCAAAGGGGGAGATTGTTAGTTCGATATTGTGTTGGCATTATTTTTTGACAAACGAATTGATTTTCCAAGAATTATTTTAGATTTTTTATTTTGACTTAGATTCCTACCATGTAAAGAAATAGAAATAGGAAAGAACTTAAAGAGAGAATTCTAATCCTACTTGGTTTACGTACTATTCTTGAAAAGTAAGCCATGGTTGAGACTCCTAAGTACACTCTAATAGGGTTATTATATTCCATATATTATCTTCTCCCTCCCTTATGGTTTGAGTGTGCAAATATATGGTAGAGTCCTAGCATGTGAAGAAAGAGAAAGAGGTAAAAGCTTAAAGAGAGAATTCTAATCCTACTTGATTTACTATTTCTTGAGAAGGAAGCCATGGCTAAGACTCTTAAGTACACTATAATAGGGTTATTATATTCCATATATTATCCTCTCCCTCCCTTATGGTTTGAGTGTGCAAAAATATGGTAAAAACATACGCAAATCCTATCGGAAGAAAAACAAGAAGGTGCAGATTTTGACAGTGCAAATTTTCTGGACAGCCTGCACGAATTTGATCATCGCCGGAGATCCGACCGTTGGATTTTTTTTTTAAATGTTCAGAGTGTGTTTCCAGCACAGAGGGCTTCAACGTGTTAAATTTTCTCGTGAATCGGAGTTACAGATCTTCTTTTATCGAAGTTACAATCTACATATTGTCGCTTGTTTTTTCAAAAAACGCAGCTCCAGTTTTGTCGATGGTTGGAGTACCAAATCTTGTCTGATCGTGCTGAAATTTTAGGAGTCTTAGGACTCGTGGAGCTTCAATCTGAACGGTGGAGATTGAATTCAAATGGTTCAATCTTGATTTATGAGATTCGGATCAACATGCATATTTTTGTAGAGAAAGACAGAATCATTGTTTGAAGGTGTACTGGAATCTATGTCCTTGAAGAAGATCTTTGAGAAGGTCTAACAAGCCGTGGAGATAGACGCAAACAGAGTTTGTCATCAAGTCATTCGTAAGTAGACAAATCAATACATTAGAAGGTTCTCTTGTGAGGTTGTGTAATTCTTACGGTGATTTAGTGAAAGAGCTGTTACAGGGATGTGGGCTCCGCAGACGTAGGAGAGTTGCTTCGAACTGCGTAAAGAATTCTCGTGTACTGTTTACTGCTTTTACTCTATATTCTGTGTGTGTGCTTGTGATAGAGAAGATGTTATAGCACACTATCTGTCATCTATTACTGTGACAGTGCTGCAGTATCTTCTCTACAGCATAATTGATTGATTTGTTTGCATAGCTCTTAATTGGTGATTTCCGCTGCGCCCCCACGAACTTTCAATTTTATCATATGTAACATTATTATTACTTAATTGTATATAACATTATAATACTCCCTTCATCATAGAAACCTTCTTGTTTTAACATTTTTGTCACAATTTGACATTTCTTTGATTATAAATTAGATATAAATTAAATAAATAAATTTTATTTTAATTTGATATGTCAAAACTATATCATATGTTGAACCCAGTTAAAATAAATTTATAGTTTATTTAAACACATTTTTCTTATAATTTAAGGTCAAAAAATATCTTTGTTTAACCAAAATAACAAATAAAAAAAACTTGAAAGTTTTTCTACGACGAAAGTAGTAGTATAAAATGGAAAGATTTTAGCACTATTTTTCAACATTTTCTAGATTTATTTAATCTATTTTGAAAAGATATTATCTTATTGGTTTTGATTGAATCTGATCTAATTTAATCTCATTGAATCTGATGTGGTATGATCTAATTGAACGGAACAAATCCTAACACAATCTCTCGCATTTCTTTAGTTTTGTTGATTTTGAAGGAAAATATAAATATAATCACTAATGGTCCGTTACTCCGTTTCATAAAATTTATTTTTTATTGTTTATTATTGCTTATACTTATTAAAGTTAGATAAGATAAGACCAGATCAGATCGAATTAGATCATATCAGATTTTATAATATAAGATCTAATAAGTTAAAATTATAACAAATTAGATTAGATAAAAATTTTTTAAATATAATTACCATAATTTTAAAAACCGGACTAGACCGGCTGGTTCAGACCGGGAACCGGCGAATCGGATGACAAACCGGTCCGGTCCAGGCGGTTAAACCGGCCAACCACCTTTTTTTTTATTTTTTTGTTAAACTTTTCAAAAGTTTCCAAGCTAGGCTTCGAACCCATGATGTGCCAGGAGTTCTACCACCCGAATAACCATTGTGCTATGGTGCCACTTCTGATTATTTTGAACATTTACTTATTTCTATCAATTATCCTTTAAGTATAAAATTATTTTTAAAATAACTTTGAAAAATATATATTATATTTTGGTTTTGAGCTAAGATTCAAAATCTAAACCATTGATATAATAGGAAGTGCATATCACACAAATATTTTATTTATATATATTTTAAATATTGGATAAATTACTTTAAAAATCATATCAACTTTTACTTTATAAAACTTTAAAAAACATAATTTTTATTTTTAATTTAATGCCACAACTAAACTAAATTAAATTGATTATAAATTTAGTCAAATATCATAATTATTTATTTCTAAATAGAGAAAATATTATTTGTTTCTCATATATGACTTTTATAATTTTATAATTTTATATATATATATATATATATATATATATATATATATATATATATATATATATATATATATATGTATGTATGTGTGTGTGTATGTGTGTGTGTTTGAACCACTAGTTCAACCACTTGAACCACTGGTTCGACCAATGAACCCACAGTTTTGCACCAACATTTTGTGTTGGTATAAAACTAATTTTTGTTAAACGCACCAACATTTGTGTCCGTGTGAATTTTTATTAACGCACCAACACTTGTGTCGGTGTAAACCATTGAAATGTTTGTGCAAACCTGTGGTATACAAATGAGGTATATTTTTTGGTGTAAGTGTAGCATGGTCTTGATTGACAATATGCGTAGTTTTTTTCCCAACTCAAATTACATTTTTTATGTTATTTTCATGCACTCAATCTAAAAGTACTTTCTCTTCTCTCCCTTAAAATGGATGCTACTGTTTTTATTAGGGAGTAATGTTTCGATATTTTTTTTGTATATTTATATTGATTAGATCATTAAATAAAGTATTATTGTTTGTTATCACTTCTTGTTTTGTAGAACTTTTTATATACATTTAAAAGATAAAATTTATTTTTTTATTTCTATACTAATTTAAAATTAAAATAATTATCAAAATGATGAGATTTTATATGAATAAATCGCCTATATAGAGTAAAACATAAAAAAGTATAAGAATAGAAATTTTATGTATTTATTCTCAAAATATAAGTTCGTATTATGGTAATATTACACTGTCTATAGGCATTTTACAATAATTTCTGTAATATACATGACAATGATTGATACTAGAAAATACACTAAAACTCTTTTTTAATGAATAAAAACATAGAACTCTTATTTTGATATATCTGCAATGTTTGTTACTTATACTTTAGTATTTTTCCCATTTTATATATTATTCCATCCGTCTATTTATTATCTTCTCGCATTTCTTTTTAAGTCGTCCGAAAATTGCTTTCATGTTTCTTGTTTTGAAAAAAAATGAATATATCATTATACCTCCACTTTTTATCTACATTAATAACATTATTCAGTTTATTCTATTGCATCAATGACAAATATGGAAAGATTTTATACTTTTTAACATATTTTAATCTTCGTGCAAGTCAAAACGAGAAAGAAATTTTTAGACAAAAAAAATATTCAGAGATTATTATCTATTCTGAGACACGAAGAGGGAAGAGTAATGATAGGGATACAACAAAAATGTACCCCATTTGCATACCACCATAGTGACTATACTCCTCACCACACATTTCTTAGAGTAATGCTAGAGTCACAAACTTAAAGTTCACAAAATTCACAAACTTGCCTTTTTAGTACTTTGCTAGAAATAAGATGCACTCAAATATTAAAAAATACTTTAATTTAAATTCCACAAAAGGCAAGTTTGTGAATTTTGTGAACTTTAAGTTTGTGACTCTAGCATTTTCCCATTTCTTATTCACCACTCTGTCTCCTTATCTACTCCCTCCGTCCCGTGAAACATGAGAGTTTTGCTTTTTAGGAGGGATTAAAGGGTAGTGTATTTTGGTATTGAATTTCCAAAAATGTCCTTTGATGTGATGGGTAAAAGTATGATTTGATAGATAGATTATTAGTAAAAAGGTATGATGTGATAGTTAGGGTATGAAAAAGTAAAGGGTAAAAGTGACTTTTTAATAGAAATAAGAAGTGTTTTGTGGGACGGATAAAAAAAGAAAGGAGAAAGATTTTATGGGACGGAGGGAGTATATTAAAAGTGTACCCCTAACATTTTTGAAGAAGGGTACTTAGGAAGCCATTCATTAATCCTTATTAAGAATATAATACTTCTTATGTTTCAAAAGGTTCATCATATTTTAAAGTACATCCAAAATAACATCATTTTTTAAATCATTATATTTATGAATTGATAAAAAAATAAGTAAGATAAATTATAACATTTAAAATATATCAATATTTTAGAGAACATGACAATCCTTTTTAAAATCATTATATTATTTTATTTTATTAAACAATCAAAAACGATTAAAATAACAAAAATTATTGAAATTATAAAGACAATCCTTTTTAGGAAGAGCAAGTATACCGCGTATTGTGTGTCTAGCCATGTAGCTAGGGCATCCAAAAGAATAAAGTAGATAGATGTGTGAGAGAGAAAGAGAAGTGGGCTTTGAGCTGTGATTTAGCTGTCTTCACAGCTAATTGCATTTTCCTCCCCATTTCTCTGTTCACACTCCCAATAGCGCTATAGCATTCATTCTTTCAAATAAAAGCATCTCTCCATTTTCTCTCTCCCTCCAGCTCCCTATTCCCTCAGATCTGTTTGCTGCATTTGCTATCTCCCTCATTCTTTCGCCGGACTTTTCCGAATCCACCTCCTCCGGCTTGCTCTCTCAGATGTCTGGAGTGATATGAAGAAGTGCGGAGTTTCATCGTTCTTCTGCTTTTGCTTCTTCCTAGCATCTGCTACCTTCGCATTCTCCTCCGCCGCCGGCTTCAGCGTTTCCGCTAATGGCCGGTTGTCGGACTCCGAGGTTCAGTACATCCGGCGGCGGCAGCTTCTGTACTACCTGGACGAGTTCCAGGACCGGGGCGAGAAGGTCACCGTTGACCCATCTTTGGTCTTCGAGAACGACAGGATCCGGAGCGCGTATATCGCACTCCAAGCCTGGAAGCAGGCGATGCTCTCAGATCCGTTCAACATGACCGAAAATTGGGTCGGTGCCGGTGTTTGCGGCTACACCGGAGTTTACTGCGCGAATCCTCCTGATAACTCGACTATCCGTACCGTCGCCACCATTGACCTCAACCACGGCGACATTGCCGGCTATCTACCGGAGGAGCTAGGCTTGCTCACAGATCTAGCGGTGTTCCACATCAACTCGAACCGGTTTTGTGGTACGATCCCGAAGAAGTTCAAGAACTTGAAGCTACTCTTCGAGCTGGATCTGAGCAACAATCGCTTTGCCGGTAAGTTCCCTTACGTCGTCCTCAGCTTGCCGCGATTGATCTACTTGGACATCCGATTCAATGAATTTGAAGGTACTGTTCCCTCGGAGCTTTTTGACAAGCCCTTGGATGCTATTTTCATTAACGACAATCGCTTCTCCTTTGAACTGCCGGACAATTTTGGGAATTCGCCGGTGTCGGTGATTGTGGTGGCTAATAATAAATTCCATGGCTGTCTGCCGGCAAGCATCGGGAACATGAGTGATCTGAATGAGATCATCTTGATGAACAATGGGCTGCGCTCTTGTTTTCCGCCGCAGATAGGAAGGTTGAAGAAAGTAACCGTGTTTGATGTCAGCTTCAACCAGCTGCTGGCCTCTCTGCCTCAACAGATCGGCGGTATGGCCAGTCTGGAGCAGTTCAATGTCGGTCATAACATGCTTTCCGGCCAGATACCTCAGAGCATATGTAAGCTTCCCAGGCTTGAGAACTTTACCTTCTCTTACAATTTCTTTACGGGTGAGCCTCCGGCTTGTTTGTCTGTGCCGGCCTTTGATGATCGCCGGAATTGTTTGCCCAGACGCCCCTTCCAGCGTTCCCCTGCTCAGTGCAACTCCTTGTCTAAGAAAATTCACTGCGGTGCTTTCAAGTGTCACAAGTTCATTCCCACTTTGCCGCCGCCTCCTCCTCCATCTCCTCC